CTTAACCTTATACCCTTATGTCTATATCCTTATTCTCATACCCTCTTAATACTATTTCCTTAACCCTATGTTCTTAACCGAATACCCTTATTCCTATATGCTTAGCCGTATACCCTTATTCTTATACCCTTCACAATATACCTTTAGCTGTAGACAGCTATATTTTTATGATTCTTCTTCTTTGACTGTAGCCTAATATTGATTTCCTTTTGACCATGTGCTATGACTTTATGTGAGGAACAAAAAAAAAACAAAAGTTTTACTATTGCATTGTATTTAAAGCATGTGTGGAAGTTATCCTGGAGAACGTCGTAACTATAGTTAGTCTTTGGTTGGTGTGCACGACAAACATATTAGCTTGAATTTTCTTCTTGATGAATGTGCTCCTCCGTAAAGCTCGAAAAGTTCATTGTGATTCGAAGTGGAATGTTGGCGAAGTGCAATTAAGTATCTGAGTGTTATTGTGTGAAAAATGAACATAGAATTGATTCAAACTAATTGAAGCAAGTTTCGCACAGTAAACTTGGAGGCATTAAAAAGTTAACCAGTGTAACCTTGGTGCAGTCTTGAGATGTGATGAAGCACGAAATTTTTGTCTTTTCTTCGTTACTTGAAACTTACACGTATCCTTTATCACTAAACCATTAGATTTATATGTTCATAGCTGCATTTGGATGAATGTTCATTAAAATGGTGTGATATATAGAAAGCGGTTAAGGGGCGTCATGGGTTGTGTATGTCATCTTTCCTCGTATCATTCTTGTGACGTTGTCGTATGTATTTTTCATCGACATCTTCTTGTGTTCTGTTGTCATGCGTGAAAGCATATGTTCGCCTTTCTACGATGATCATCTACGTTCGTTCTCTTAGTCTTTCTGCATAGATCATGAATGTTCTCTCTGGTACTTTTCAGGGAGTTCTTGATTCTTTACCAGCTTCTGAATATTTCCTTTTGTTTCTGTGCTCATGTATATTTATATACCACTCGCCTGCAACAATCAACGTGTTATATATACGCAATAAAACTACATTTCTCTTTGAGCACAACTGGTGAATTGTCGACAGCCTGTCTTAAGCTTTGTGACATATTGTGTTTTATTTTGCGAATGATCTTACTGAAATCTCCTTTCCGTGCATTGTGCACTGCTAAAGTTAAGAAATCAAAATTCTAAGTTATGAATCATAATCCATTACAGTCTTACTGAATTATGAAACTTCTGGACATATTCTCTGGAACTACATATAGGTTTGTCTGCATTACAAAATATTTAAGCATTATTTCTAATAATGTATGAAAATGCGTTAACATACGTTGAAAGTTTACTGAATTGTGGAACATTGATGAGTTATCTCTGAAAATGCATTGGAAATTTACTAAATTTTCAAACATTTCAACATTATTTCTCTTAATGCATGATAATGTATTGATTTTCAATTCATTATTCGGGATTAAAACATTATTTTCGGAAAATACATTGAAATGCATTTATCTCCAATGCATCATTGGTCATTAAAACACTATTTCTGGATTATGCATTGAAATGCATTGAAAATTCACTAAATTTTGAAGCATTTCTTCGTCATTTCCGATAATGCATTGAAATGCATTGATCGCCAATGCATTATCAATCATTAGAACATTTTCCCTCGATAATGCATTGCAATGCATTGATTTTCAATGCATTATTTGCCATTTGTACATTATTCGTAAATAATGCATTGAAATGCATTGAAAATTTATTGAATTTTGAATTTTTTAAGATTTTTTTCTAATAATGCATTATACTTCATTATAGCATTATTTCCAAATAATGCATTGAAATCCATTGAAATTCCGAAAAATAATGAATTATAATTTATTATTTGATATTTTTGCAAAATAATGGATCATTTTTCCATTATTTTTCCATTATTGGCTACATGGGAATATATTGAAACATCAAAGTATTATAATACACTATTTGGATTGCATTATCATGTAATTGCATTCATTATTGTTAAAAACGCATTTTAATGCATTAAGAACGTCGTACGTTATATTCGTATGCCCTTACGCTTAGCTTCTTATCTTGAACTTTATATCCTTAATCCTACACCTGACTCCTATACCCGATTCCTATACCCGATTCCTATACCCTTATTCCTATATCATTAACCCTATATTCTTATACCTGTATCCTTAACCCTATACTCTTATACCTGTATCCTTAACTCTATATCGTTAACCCTATATCATTATGTTTATATGCTTAACCTTATACTCCTAACCCAATATCCTTACGCCTGTACCCTTAATCCAATATCTTTACGCCTGTACCCTTAATCCAATATCCTTATGCGTGTATGCTTCACCTTATACCCTTATGCCTATACCCTTAATTCTATACTATTAACCCTATATCATTATGCTTATATACTTAACCCTATACTCCTAGCCCAATATCCTTATGCCCAGAGATGGAACCGGTCTAAAATTTGTCAGATCGGTACCGGTACCGATCTGAAAAAGTCAGACCGGACCGGACCGGTCGGTCTACCGGTAATGCATGATACATCGATAATTCACAGTCAGAAAAAAAAGTGGTTCAGATATGGAGAATATGGTTTATCGCGTGACAAACTTTATTTGCCAACTTGTATCACGTACCTGATATAGAGATGGAATTAGTCTGAATTTTTGACTATTAGAACTGATAGTGGTCTAAAAAGGTTAAACAGGCCGGCTTATCGGTTACCAACCGATCTACCGGTTAGTGACCGGTCGACCGGTTGGTGACTGGTCTACCAGTTAGTGACCGGTCTACCGGTTCCATCTCTGCTTATGCCTATACCTTTAACTCGATGCACCTAATCCTATATCATTATGCCTATGCACTTAACCCTATACCCTTATGCCTATGACCTATATCCTTACGCCTGTACCCTTAACCGTCTGAGTACGGGCGATGCGATTTCGCGTCCTGATATTTTGGGACCCGAATAACTTGAAAAAGCACGATCTGTTGATTATTTAGTAATATAAATAGCATGAGTATTTGCATTTAGGATATTTGTACTATTACGATTATTCATACCTAGTGATGATTATTAGTTATCCATTAATATTTCTGGCAACCAGCATCTGATTTAATTAGTTGGATTATAAGCCAATTTGACAACATTTCTCGAGAAAGAGCCATCGCTATCAAAAGGATGCTTCATGTTACGAAAGTCGTTCAAGAGTATCATCCATATGAAAGATCCTAATGAGTTGATGGCATTTGATAAAGAGTATAAAACATATTTTTTGACATAATAGGTTACGAAAGACAAAATTTGACTACCTTCTGATAGTCCAGTTTGTGTTAATACTGTGAAGAGTGTCAAGTCGAGAAAAGATACTTCGTATGGATGTATTGAACGTGATGTAGAGCTGTGTCTTACGGATTGTTTTAAAGACTATCACATTCTAAAAGCGTTTTGAATCATGTATCTTGTGACATTTTTTGGAAAATAAGCGTTGATTTGAAACTCTAAGGGCTTTTATTATATAAAAATAACCCGTACTCAAAATTTTAACTATATGCCCTTAACCATATATCCTTATGTCTATACTTTTAACCATATATTCTTAGCACTATATCCTTATACCTTTAACCATATACCCTTAGCCCTGCACAGCTACATTCTTTTGATTGTACCTCTTTGATTTCCTTTTGACCATGTGCTATTACTTTATTATGTGAGAAACGATAAAACAAAAGTTTTGCTATTGTATTGTATGCAAGGGCGAAACAGCGGACTTCAAGACTTCAAGACTTCAAAAGACTTCATAGGACTTCAAATGACTTCACAAGACTTCACAAGACTTCACAAGACTTCAAAAGACTTCTGAAGACTTCATTGGATTTCAAAAGACTTCATGAGACTTCACAGACTTCTTGAGACTTCACGGACTTCATGAGACTTCAAAAGACTTTATGAGAATTCATAAGACTTCATTAGACTTCATAAGACTCCATAAGACTTCATAAAACTTTACAAGACTTCTACAGACTTCACAAAACTTCATCGGACTTCACAAGACTTCGTAAGATTTCAAAAGACTTCACAAGACTTCAAGAGGCAGATTCCGTGCGTATCAAAAAAACTTATAGAAATTAAATGAAACCTCTATAACATGCAAAAAAGCTTATCATTAAGTAAGGGTGTCATTTACCATGTACTTTATAATAAATACAAATTACTTATCATTTAATTTACGCGTAAATTAAATGAAAAGTAAATATAAACTGACACTCTCATTCATAACGGAGTAACTAGCGTCTTCCGAGCACTAGGAACAGAATAATATTGATAAAATCAACGTTGAAAATATTATTTTAGCTGGATTTAACCGTGCAAAAGAACTAGTTAGTAATTTGAATATATTACCTTCATTAAAGGAATACAATGCTTGTGAACTTAATGGTTTAAGTAAAAATATATCTGATAGTATTAGATTCAACATTAATTCGGATAATTATTTAGCAACGGAGTCAGATTCTTCATCAGATTCTGAATCTGATTATGATGATGGAGCAATGGAAAGTAATGAATTTGATAGTGATCTAATCAATGTGGATGAAGAAGATAAAGATGCGGCAATGACACAAAACTTTGATGAAATTAAAACTGAGAAAATAAATTTTACTGGTATGCGTATATTCAATTCGATTAATCCAGCAATGAAAAACTCCTATTTTCAAGTGCAAGTAAATAACAAGACTAAATTTATACACAAGCAAACGGCTTGTTGGTTATTGACCGACAAAGTTAGCCGCTTATCGGCTGATAGATTATCACGAGTGATAGAAACAAGCAAAAAGGATTAAAAATCTTCATCAGATTGATTTGTATAGATGGAAAATTTCTTATAAAAATAAACCAATTCATTCAAAAAGCATTCACTTATTAATTATTATATTTTCTAAGATCAAACAAGCTTGAATTTTTTCCAGTGCATTAAAAAAAAACAATAAAAAGTTCACCTTTCTACTAAAATAAGACCGTCGAAAACAAGACAATTTCATTGGTTTCTTGTGAATTTTCATGCACGAAATGTATTTCAAAGCTTCCAGAAGACTTCAAGAGACTTCATCAGACTTTATGAGACTTTAGAGACTTCAAGAGACTTTATGAGAATTCATAAGACTTCAAGATACTTCAGAAGACTTCGAAAGACTTTCAAGACTTCATGAGACTTCAGACGTGAAGTCTCCGCTGTTTTCCCCTTGATTGTATGTAAAGCGTGGGTCAAAGTTATCCTGGAGAACATCCTAGCTATTTGTAGTCTTTGATTCGTGTGCATAACGAACATATTAGCTTGAATTTATTCTTAATAAGTCTGCCCCTCGGTAAAGCTCAAGAAGTTCATTATGGTTCAAAGTGGAATTTGGCGAAGTACAATGAAGTATCTGAGTATTATTGTATGATTGATGCACATACAATTAATTCAAACTAATTGAAGCAAATTTTGTCATGGTAAACTTCAAATCGTTAAAAAATTCGCGAGGATAACCTTGACGAAGTCCTGAAATATGATGAAGCATGAAACTTTCGCTTTTTCTTCATCACTTGAAACTTACACGTATCCATTATTACTAAAGCATTAGATCTATATGTTTATGACTGCACTGGGAAGAATATTCGTTAAAAAGGTGTGATAAACAGAAAGCGGTTAAGTGGCGTCATGGTCTGTATACGTAATCTTCTTTTTGTATCATTGTTGTGACGTCATTGTATATATGTTCCATCTACATTTTCTTGTGTTCTGTTGTCATGCATGAATGCATATGTTCGCCTTTCTAGGATGGTCATCTACATTTGTTCTCTTAGTCTTTCTGCATAGATCATGAATGTTCTCTCTAGTATTTTCCAGGGAGGCTTTGGTTTTCTATCAACTTCTGGATATTTCCTTTTGTTTCCGTGCTCACGTATATTTGTATACCTCACGCTTGCAACAATAAACATGTTATACTTACGCGACAGAACTAAACTTGTCTTTGAGCAGCAACTGATTAATGGTCGACAGCCAGTGTTAAAGCTTTTTGTCAGCTCTTATTTTTCACTATGCGAATGGTCTTACTGCAATCTCCTTTGCATAAACAATGCAGTGTTGAAGCTTATAGATGAACATTCTAAGTTATGAATCATAATCCATTAAAATCTTACTAAATTATGTAAGATCTGGACATATTCTCTGAAACTACATCGAGGTTTGACTGCATTACCAAACATTTAAGCATTATTTCTAATGATGTATGATAATGCATTAATTTTTAATGCATTATCGGTCATTTATACACTATTTTCGATAACGCGTTACAATACATTGGAATTTTACTGAATTATCAAACATTGAGGCATTATTTCTGAAAATGCATTGAAATGCATTGAAAGTTTACTAAATTTTGAAGCATTTCAACATGATTTTTGATAATGCATGATAATCCATTGATTTTCAATCTATTATCAGGCATTAGAACATTACTTTTAAAAAAATGCATCGAAATGCATTGAAACTACGAAAAATAATGCATTACCATTAATTATTTCATGTGTTTTGCGAAATAATGAAAAATAATGTGCCAGTTTTGTATTATTTATCCATTATCGGTTACATAAGACATATCTTTCAGTCATAATCTCACAACAAAATCTTTGAGTCTAGTCATCAGAACAGGATTAAAATATAGTAATGGAGTGTATCTGCAAAAATTAACACGATAGAAAGACACAAAAAAGCAGATACTGAATGTCTGTATTCTATTCTGAATCTAGCGATCAGAGAAGACTTACCCACAGTACAATATTTTCTGAAGTACTGGATTTCCATAATACAAGATTTTCAGTATGACAGAAACAAGGTAGTATTGAGTTACAGTAGGTATTGCACGTATTATATAAGAAAAATCCCTAAATTGAAAAGTCTCTAAATTAAAATCCCTATTTGGTCACCAATATAGACGTTAATTGTTTAATTATCCATAAATGTGGATGCGATTTAAGGATGCATTCAGGAATCCACATTTGTAGTAAATGATAGGCATTCCAGCAAGTGTACGCTATAGAGATGCGTTACTATCAACAAATAAGCTAAAAGAACGGTCGAGGAGTTTACGAAAAAAACAAATTTATCCCATTTTACTTTTACGATAGTTAACTTGAAAATATAAAACTCTTTATAGTTTCGTTAGTCCTTTCACTTACTTTACTCAATCTATGGTAAGGATGAGGAAGAGACATCTCATGTCACTTTCACTCTCACCCTCACACTAAAGAAGTACTTCATTCTAAGACAAAATATCATAAAAGTAAATTGGGATAAATTTGTTGTTTTCGTGGACCTATGAAAAAGGTCTCGATTTCGACCGATACTACTACTCTAAATGTTGAAACCATATTGAGTTACTGGAAAAACAAGATCATTTGCCAGATGTATGATTAATTTTGAGCGCTACTGTATATAATCATTTGATTATTCACTTTCGTATGTTAGTTTCACAATGCAGTCATTTTAACTAACGAGAAATAGTGTATTAATAAACATAAATGAGTAAAAACGACACTAAATCATATAAAAAATTAATAAAATCTGAAGCGAAAAATATCATAATATTTTCAATGAATACTACATCATTGTTAGCATCCACTTCATTTGGATAGGACGATTCCTATTTTGATGATCTTCTTCATTTTCACTATCACTACTATCAATTAATTGCATTTGTTTCTTTATTTTGAAAATGATAGACAGATGTTTGTTGACATGTTCTGGACTATTTAACCATTTATCTCATTTTACGGATTACGATAAGAAATGATATTAAAGCAAGTTCGATATCTTTGTTGTTAAGTTCATCTTGGACCGATGAATAATCAGTACTTATAAACTACAGTGATTGTTAGCAGAAAACTATCTGATTATAATTATTGACACAAATCAAATCAAGTAACCATTGGTCATTTAGTTAGCATAGTAGACTCTTGCCAAATTAGAGTTCACTTTGAAAATTTTACAGAATATGATCTAATGTAATCAGTTATAATGGTAATGTGTTTATTTAGTAGTCAGTTAAATGATTTAAAACTAAAAAAGTAGTATATATGGTCCTTCCTAAAATCGCACACATTCTGTACATACAGTCACTGACACAACACTATGTAACGGTGAAGGAAATGTATGTAATCTGAAGGAGTATCCTATCTACTTAAAAGATCTAAATTATGGACAGCAATTAAAAACCATTACTGTATTTCTCCTATCATATTACTTTTCTCTCATAGGACAGTACAAAAGTTGTTTCATCCAGCTCTCTTAAAAGACATATTTTGAGTGAAACAATTCTATCATAATACTCAGACACATTTAAAAGCATGTACAAAATTTTAGTCTTAGAAGTCTTGCCTTTCTTTTTATTTTTGCATTTCTTTCAAACTAGGTTTAGATCATTTTCTAGATTAATTTTGAGTTCTCACGACAACATTTTTCGAAGTATGATTTTGCATGGCTAGTAAATTAACTTAACTTA